CATTATGGACCCGCACCTACTCCCTACAATGAATGTAAACTTGTACTGCAAATATGTACTGATAAAATAAAATTTAAAAACACACACACCTTTGCCCTCTCCCGATGTCTGACCTAACCACCCATAGGGTGAGGGCTGAGGGGGACCTCCTCCACTCAAACACAGGCTCGGCCCCCCAGGGAGGTCTCCAACTCCCTGCAGCGGCAACACCCTTTTTCCTCCTTCTCACCTTCCTTTCACTTAAGCCCTTGGGTCAGAAGCTGCTAGGATGGAAAGCCCCAGGCTCACACTACTGTAAACAGAACCACACCACGCCTGTGCTCAGAGGCCACACTCGGTCCCTGAGGTCGCAGGGCTGAGCCCATCAGTGGGAAGGTCCTGAGGAGTTTCTCACTGCAGTACTGCCCAGCAGCCCTGGCCTGGGCAGACACCCACTCTAGCTGTCCTCAGAAGCCCTCTTCCCGGGATGGAAACAACAGACCCACCCTGGCCTCAAAATACAACAATGGGACTCATATGACCCGTGGGACAAACCCACGCCTGGAATGACCTGAAAAACTCCCGCCCTGGCCTCTGATCTCTCCTGTTCCGCCCACCCCCTCCCTGTCCCACCCAGGCAGCTGAAGGCTACCTAGGCTCCACTTTCACTCCTCAGCCTTCTCTCCATCATGTTCCCATCATCAGACATCTGATTCCAAAATGAAGCAAAATACAGTGTGTAGACAATTAAATTCTTTAAAATTTATTACAGTAGAAGACACACTGCCATCAATCTCCTTCAAAATACTGCCCTCGCTTTGCGCATGCGTATCCCATCATCCTTGGCTCTTTCTGCTGCAGTTCTGGAAGTCCTCTTTGTTGTCTTGCAGATAGCTGTCATCAAAAACACGAGGAATGGACAGGCAGGCTTGTAAAACACAACAGTGTGTCTTTCTTCACCTTATTCACCCAATCTGGTACACGTGCCGACTTCTGACTCTTCCCCAAGGTCATAAGGACCCACAAAAAGGAAGTGTTTTAGATCAGTTCTGGACACGGAGGCAGCCAAGGCAGTACAGCGACAGACACTCACGAAGGAGGGCTCCGGAGCGGCCTCAGAGCAGCAGGCGCGACGGGCTCAGTGTGCACAGGCAGGCGGAAGACTTAAAGAGGATTCACGGCCAAGTGTCCTTTACGTAATGGGACCCTTTTGACTTAAATAAGCATCACCCTTTTCAGTGCTACCTCACATATCAGAATGCCACTTAGCCTTAGAGAGGACACGGCCCACATGTAGCGTAGGCGAGCCTCCACGACACGAGTGCGGCAGGACGAGGAGGCCCATGTCTGATGCACTGACACAGAAAGGAGACAGTGGGGACAGGCAACGAGGAGGGCTCCTTTGTTTTCATTTTTAGCAGTCCAGGCTGTGGTACTGGATGATCACACTCATCGCGGGGACCGCGAACGCGGCGCGCCCCCGCTCCCTTCCCCCGCTCCCCTCCCCCGCTCCCCTCCCCCGCTCCCCTCCCCCGCTGCCGTCTCTGGCCCCGCCCACTTGCCTACTGTCTGTCTTGTGCTTTGCACTTCTCGTTTATCCATACCGGGGTCTCTCACCTAAGAGAAACCATGTGAGAGGCGATGCTTGACCTGTGTGTCCTGGGGAGACAGCTCAGCGGGCTAGGCGCCCACCTGGCAAGCCTGTGCATGCACAGGCCACCAAAACTGGTGTGGTGACACACACCTGTAATCCCAGCGCTAGGGAGGCGGGGACAGGAGGATCACTGCACCAGCCAGATCGCACCCGATTTACTTCACTGACCACTATGGGCTTCAGGCAAAGGCATCCGTTTTGTTCTGATTTTTGGTGTGCTTGTTTTTGACACTGGGTCTCCCTATGCAGTGCAGACTGGCCTTGAACTCACTATGATGCCCAGGCTGGCCTTAAACTCACAATGTCCTCCTGCCTCAGCCTCTCAAGTGCTGGGATTCCAGGTGTACGCCACCACAGCAGGGCACAATGCATCCAGTCTCCTACAAAAGGCTCAAGATCATCCTTCTTTATGGTACAGTAGTCCTCCACCAAGTATTAATACCACATATAGCAATCTAACATAAAATGTCTTTAAAGTAGAGAACCCAATAAACAGAATATAAATTAGTTTTTAAAAATAATACACACGCAGCCAGGTATGATAGTACACACTCGTAATCCCAGACCTTGGGAGGCTGAGGCAGTAAGACTGTCATGAGTTTGAGGCCAGCCTGGGCTGCACTGTGAGTTCAAAGCCAGCCTGAACTACATAGCAAGACGCTGGTTCAAAAATAAATAAGTAAATAAATAAATCTAGTCAGTCAGGAAATCCCTGACTGAGCATAAATCAAGATAAATAAAGAACTGCTCCAAATGATAACAGAAAATACAGATACAAGACAGAACGGGGGGAGAAGAGGGCACAGCAGCGCTGCTGCCCTGTCCCCGGGGGCAGGACACACATGAGCGCTGTCAGTAATGAACCCCTGCTCTCCAAAACCCACCACTCCAGTCTGGAAGTGCTTGCCGACTGCTCCTCCCTCCACCTTACACGAATCTTTTAGAAAAATAATTCCTCTGTGCTAAAGAAACATTTGTTTCAAGTTTAGCACATTTTTGATTCACTTTAGCTTCCTTTTTTTGAAATCAATTCACTGCTTTCATTAAAATGGACAAGTTACAGTAGAACAGAGGTTATTGAAGGTGACTAGGATTTAGCTCCCAAGGTGTCTTCTGTTTTGTATTCCTTACCACTGACTTCTTTATATTGACTACCTTTTTTTTCTATCATTTTACACAAATACAGAATGACTAGTCTTAAATAAAAATAAAAGCAGACAGGAAAAAAGCAGCTGAGATCTCCACCGCAGTGAGGGCTGGGTGGTGGATATCAATGAGAATTTTCTTGGTACTTTGCATTTTCCAGAAGGCCTGATGTTTCCAGTACACAAGAAGTAATACTGAATATTTACAGGGAGAGAAGCCCAGCACGGAGGTTCCTCAGAAGCCAAGGGCCAGGTGCTATCTGATCCAGCCACAGTGACACATACATGCCCATGCATACAGTGGCAGGGTGTGACAGCTAAGCCTTGAAAACAGCCCAAATGCCCATCAACTGACGGATGGACAAGAAAATGTGGTCTGTCCACACAGTGGAGCACCACGCAGCCACAGGCAGACAACCTCGGGCACGGCCAGGTCAGTGATGCGGCTTGGGAACACACTCGTAAGTGACGGATGGACAAGAAGATGTGGTTTGTCCACAGTGGAGCACACGCAGCCACAGGCGGACAACCTCGGGCACAGCCAGGTCAATGATGTGGCTTGGGAACGTACTCGTAAGTGACGGATGGATAAGAAGATGTGGTCTGTCCACACAGTGGAGCACCACGCAGCCACAGGCAGACAACCTCAGGCACGGCCAGGTCAACGATGTGGCTTGGGAACACACTCGTAAGTGACGGATGGACAAGAAGATGTGGCTTGTCCACAGTGGAGCACCACGCAGCCACAGGCGGACAACCTCGGGTACGGCCAGGTCAATGATGTGGCTTGGGAACACACTCGTAAGCGACGGATGGACAAGAAGATGTGGTCTGTCCACACAGTGGAACACCACACAGCCACAGGCGGACAACCTCGGGCACGGCCAGGT